ATTACCTTAAGCATTTCAACATCTGAAAAATCAAACTCATAAATTTAATACATTGTATTTTCCTGAGCATTTAAACATTGACTATAAATTTAACAAGTTCTCCTAAATATATGCATTAAAATCGTAAGTCTAGTAAATTTCTACTATATCATTCCATTAAGCCTTTACTTTTAAAACATAAAGCAAAATTATGTTATTACACTCAAATAAATATAACTTACACAGAAACGTCATTACTTCATTGTTTGTAATTCTTACTTGTTTTACCTTTCTGGCACTACAAAGTTACTTTTCCAAGTAGCAGGAGTAGAATTATTGTTCAGGTCCTCTATAGCGATTGAGATTACAGATGGCCATTCAGAGATCGGAGTCCCAAACTGCAAAGGTACAGACCTGGGACAGGGCATGGGCTGCCTCCTAGGGAGATTTCACCAGAGCTACACACTAACAAGGGAAGTCCCTTCTTGTGGGTGGCTTTTGCCAGCTGCGTTGTCAGTGGGAAATATCCTCAGGCTTTTAAAAATGGAATTTTCACGATCCAGTGCATCACGTATATCCAAGGACCCTTTCAACTTTCACTCTTACCCAGTTTTTTTTTAATCATAGATGTTTTCTTTTTCTTCCCTGATTTGACTAGATGGAATTACGCGCATGTGCGACCATGTGTGCGCGTCCGGTGGCGCATGAATACACACACAGTTACAGTCGAGCTTCCTGATGAGGCTTCATTTACTCTCTCTTCCTTCTTATCATCCGTGATGTCAGCTACTGACAACTGTGAGCTGGTCAAGAGCAGGGTGTGCATTGGCATCTTTGTGTTTCTAGTGGTCAGCACATTTGCCTGGTGCTCAGTAAATGCTTGTTGAACGAATTAATGAATAAATATAGTGAGTGTAAACTTGGAGTAATCAACCCCAAATATCCTCTACCTAACTTCATCAGGTGGAGTAAGTTTTTCCTTGCAGTAATTCACTAACTTGCCAGTCATCCGAAAGACCATGACAGAGCTCTTACCATTTGAATGGTGCCTCACTTACAGCCCTTGCTTCTTGCTGGTGTCTGATGAATCCCTCTCAGTAATAGCCGGCCTGTCACACGTGTCACCATTCACCACCTCCCCCTCAAGTCTGACTTGACAATGGACCTTAACACACTTTCCTACAAAGTCTGGACTGTTCAGAATTCTTTTCTGAACTGAGAATCCTTTTTAGAAAGGCACCATAATGGAATTGGCATTCATGGTGCCATAATTTGCCATCCTGGGCAGAGTACTTAAGAGCACACATTTAGATCTGCAAATCCTGGCTCTGCCACTTACAAGCTTTGTTGTTTTGCTTTTCTCAGTTATCTCTGTGAAAAAGTAACTTTGGTATCTATTACGGAGGGTGAGGCATGTATTGAATAAGGTATGCAAAGCTCTCAGGATAAAGTCAGGTGCTTGAATGCTCAATAAATAGCAGTTATTACCCAGATGGACTCTTTTTGCCTGTTGCCCCGGTCTCCTGGCTGGAAACGCAGTTGCATTCACACTGCTTCATTCTTTAACATACTGATTCTTCAAGGGGCAAGGGGGAGTGAAGACTTAAGAATACCCTCCTGGGGGAAGTCAAGAAGACTCAGATTCTGAGCGCATAGCACATGTTTCTTCACATACTTGCAGAGCTGTGGTAAGTAATAAATAGTGAGATCCCAAGATTTCCATGCTTTTTAAATAAAAATTTAAAATACAAGTTTAACAATATTAAGTACAGTAAGATTGAATCATGTAATGAGTCACTTCAATTTTTGACAGGCTTCTTATTTCAAAGCCCTCAGCTACTTCCTGTAATCAAAGCCCATTTTCCAATTCTCGGGCAGATACCACCTAATGATCCACTTAATCTTTTCATGTTCTTAATTTAGGGTCAGTTTCAATGGCCTGTCTCACATCAGCTGTCATTTTGGTGATCGAAATGTCACTTCACATTACAGTTTTCATTGGGACAGTTCTCATCTTTGGTTTCAATTCAATTTAATTCGAATCAGATCCATATGTCTCCGGACAATTGAATTTGCTTAAAATCCTCTCTGTTCAGTTAAGATCGTAACCACTACTTCCTGGTGAGGCCAGTGAAGTTCCGGATACCTCCTAAACCCCTGGTGCTGCCTGATCACACGGCTGCTGCTGCTGCCGCCGGCTGAGGTGGGCTTGACACCAGCACTGGGACCCGTGAGGCGGCCTTACGGCCATCTGTGCTTGAACCAGCTCTGCTGTCTCTGGTCTTGATGCCACAGTCTCCACCATCCCATCCCACCCCCAAACTCCTGCTGGATCAGTGCTCCTCAGAACTATAGAAAAATCTTCCCTTATACCTCATTTAACAGAGATCTTGGCTGAGAAACAGCTTATTAGGTTATCAGAGTTTAGAAAGGTGTTGTAATTTGCTTATTTTGGTATTTGTTTGAGTTTTTCCAGTCTTCTCCCCACAAGACAGACAAAAGGGGCTGAGCCACACACAACACAAGTCGCCCATGCCATACTCAAAACTGCCCTTTTCTTGGAACAACTCAACTACTTTTCTCACACCTGACTTGTATACCTGACTTTCCCTGGGAGAAGTTTGTTTCCAAGAAGTTTCACTTATAAGACCCTTGGTGGAGATGACCCTACCAGTTGGCCAAATGTGTTGAAACTCCTTTATCCCGTCATCCTGTGGGCTGGTAGATTAAAGCATTCTGGGGCCTTAGTGGCACTGGCCAGAAGAGGGAAGCAAGGATGCTGGGGCCAGGCAGGATCAGGGCCCAGAAAACTAACCCAGCTGAAGAAGGGGGAGACCATTTGGCCTCTCCACAGTATTCCCAGGGGCTGAGCTTGATTACAGCTAATAGCATACAAAGAAACTCACCCAAGTGAGCAAAGCCTAGCTCTGGAGGTCAGTTGGGAGCTGTTGTGTGATGTGGCCATTGGCAGCGTGGCCTCTGCTTTTGGTATTCCTGGCACGGGGACTAGTAGGAGATGGGCTGTGGTCATGGCCTGGCCCTCTAAGCAGGCCATAGGTAAGGCCATTACAAACCAGATGTAGAGTGGTCCCTTAGGCTGGGCACTCTGGGAGAGCTCTACCCAAAGCAGTCTGAAGGGACTGCTAAAATGGAGAAGTGAAACTGAGGTCACAACAGGGAAAAATGGGGTCAAATGAGATACATACACATGCAGGTCACTGGCCAAGGGAATCCAGAGAAATGGATAAGAAGGTAGGAGATCGTAAGTGGGATAGGGTTCCTGCTATATACCACTAGCTTGGACTGGGATTTCTGAAAGTCACCTTATCTAGCTAGATTGAGAGTGTCCAGAAAACCAAGGCAGAAGCTCAGGTATACAGACTGAGCTTCCGCAGCGCGTTTAGGAATGATGTAATCGCTAAAGCTTAAACTCTGTAGTCAGAAGGCTCGGGTTCGGATCCCAGGTCTGACACTTCGTGTGGCTTTGGGCCAGTGAATCTCATGACATCTCTGTATCCTTCAAGAAAGAACTTCAGAGGGTTCTTTTAAAGATCTGTCAAGTTCCTGTTGCAGGAGGTAGTCAACCAGTGAGGGAATGAGGCACGTGGCCTCGTTGGCCAGCAGCAGCACAGCAACTCCAGACCCCTTCACGTTCCTGGATGGGGCTGAGCCTGCTGACAGTTTGCCTTCCTGATGAGGAAGGACTCAGGGATGGGCAAACGGGAGAAGGGGCCCTGGGACCAGAGCCTGATGTGAGCGGGGAGTTGGGAGCAGAGCAGCAGCCGGTCTGGGAACGTTGTATTCGAATCACAATATCAGGGAAATATCCATTCACGTTGACCTCCTAGATCCAGAAAAGAACACTCAGGGGTACGGCTGTCCCCACACCCAGGCACACATGTCAGGGCCCTGGGCCCCAGGCAGACCTGGCTATCCTCTGCCCGTGACGCTCGGACTTGTGTTCCTTTCTCTGGTAGCCTCACTGGGTGAACATTTGATCTTGGAAACGCAGTCCATCTGCTCCAGTTGAAAATGTTTGCAGCTCTCCCATGGTTTCCATGTATGCTTTTTGTTTTTGGTGTGTCCAGGGAAGTGACTCCGGTTCTCTCTCTCTCTGTGGCGGTGGCGTCACTACCCTTAGTCTGTATTGGAAGAGGCCATGTGTTGAAATTCAGTTGAATGCGGGACTGAGTGCCACTCACAAGAGATCTTGCTACTCTAAGTCTGGGGTTGCAGTAAAAGAGCCCATCCCTCCCAGCTTGAGAACAAGGAAGGGCTGTCACACCTCGCAGACCCCACTCCCCCCTACCCAGCCTTACTCCCCTCATCCACGCCTCACACCAAATTCTGACAGTGTCTCCAGTGCCCTTTCCGACCTCTGCCCAGGCCCTTCGCTCTGCCCAAAATGGCCTTCCCTCCTTCTCTCTGGATGGCCTCCCCTTCAGCCTAAATGGCCCAGCTCAAGACATCTTTCAGAACCTTCTCTGTAGACCTCCTCAATCCACACCAAATCCATCCTTCCCTCCTCCTTGCTCCTGTTGTTCAGCATCTCCCATTTTTATCTCTCCTTCTTTGAGCCCTTTGAAAGCAGAGTGTGTGTCTTCCTCATGGTGTCTGTATCCCAGCATCTGTCACAGTGCCTGGTACTCGTCTGGTACACATTAAAAATGTGTGGATGAAAACTGAAACAGACTCACAGACATAGTAAACAATCTTACGGTTATCAGAAGGAAAGAGGGTGAGAAGGGATAAATTGGGAGTTTGAGATTTGCAAATATTAACTACTATATATAAAAACAGATTTTAAAAGATTTCTTCTGTATAACACAGGGAACTATATTCAGTATCTTGTAGTAACCTATAATAAAAAAGAATATGTAAACGAATATATGTGTGTCTATGTATGACTGAAACATTATGCTGTACACCAGAAATTGACATGTTGTAACTGACTATATTTCAATTAAAAAAAAATGTATGAATGAAAACCAAAACATTCCTTTTGTTTCTTTTTCCTACAGAAACGATGACTTTGGGTAAGAGGATTGCTTATGCCAAGGACTCAGTAGGACAACCATCTGACAAAGACCTTTCAGTAACTTTTCCCATCCACCAACATCCAGACGACTCCAGTGACCAAATGCTCAGCTGTAACCACAGCAGTAACCGGCCCTCTTTCCAGATCGGGTTTGCTGAACGTGAAGATGGTCCAGCTGCCGTCTTCAGGTGGCCTAAGGTGGTATGCTGTAGGGGAGGCACATCTCTTCTGGCCAAGACCCAAGCTTGGACTATGGAAGAAACCAGCTGATACAGTGAGAGTGCCAAGAGCACCGAGCGTACCAGGACTCTTAGTGATTAACATGAGGCCCTTCCTTGGTGATGGGGTCGCAGCCGCTGCCCTGGCAGTGTCACTCTGACATGATGTTATTTTGCTTGAAGGCCCTGGAAGGACAGAATATTTTAAAATCTCTCCAGGTGCTACACAGGCAGCAGATCTAATTCACCCTGGACTACCACTGAGATAATACCTTGTCTCCAGAAAATAATTTCACCCAAGAAGTACTCTAGCTTTGCAGGGAATAGCCCCAGCAGAGTCATAGAATAAGCAGGCTGTTACCCTGGAGACAAAGTGGGCTCAAGTGCAAGGAGGGCTAGTTCACCGCAAGTTCACTGCCACTCCCACATCCACGGCAGTGAGTACCAGTTGATCGTGGCCCTCTCTTCCACTAAACCCAGATTCCGAGGAGTCAGAATCCCCAGCACTGTTTTTGAGATAGCCACCAGCCTCTTCCTTTCAACTGGTGTTGGCAATCGGGATGAAAGTTCATCGTCAGCCCTAACTGTTAGAGAGGCGGACATCTGGATGGTGGAATACCTTTTCCCAGGTGCATTTGTCCACTGAGGGAACAGCCTCAGATACAGATGTACCATTGGGTGAGCTGAGTTCATGGAGAGATGACACAGCTGGCCCCTGACTGAAGGCACACCTTTGGGGCCTCTTTGGCCTGAGTGCCTTCTGGGGTATTTCCATATGCAACTGCCCAGAGGTGTAGCCTCGGCAGCCACAGACAGGTTTCCTTTCACTTCCAGACACATACATCACTTTCACAGCACTTGGGGAATGGAAATACCTACAAGAGTGAAGGTGAAGGGCTCTCCCCGGGTATCTCATTCATTACTCAGCTTCCTTTGTGACCACATCAGCCAACCCACTGCCAGCTGTGTTCCCCATCCTCATTGCTTCTGCCTCCCTACAAATGAAACCAAAGGCCTCAGCATGCACTGGGGGTGGGGGTTTTTACCCAGTGGTCCTCTGTCTCCCGTTATGGGTATAGGGTACCCTGTCCGTACATTGGCACCGCTTCTCCAAGATAGCGTTTGCCTTTCACACAGTCCCTTTGCAGTGGAATCCAGAGTTGGACTGTAGTATACCTTCCTGGGAAGCTCATTATCTTCATTTGAATTAACATTTCCATGTGAGAGTAACCGGGTGGAAGGAGAGTCATCACATGTCTTCAGAAAGTCCTTGTTGCTACAGCTGCCCGGTGCAGGAAGCTACCCTGATGTCAGATCTAAAAAGGATGGAGGCCTTTGGTTGGGCGAAGCCATGTTACTGCATTCCAGCTTCACTTGATCCCCTGCCTGCCTAATCCATTCCCATCTCTGATTGGCTCTCAACTTCCAGGGTCCAAAGGGAACCCAAGTTTCTGCCTATGTCTGTTGACATGAGAAGAATTCAACTTTCTTTGCCCAAGGTTCCCCTCTGCCTGTTCCTCCCTTCAGACATCTTCCTCCATACCAGTGTTTAGAACCAAAGCATGAAGGACTAGTGCCAGCAAGATGGTCAGCAGAAATGCTCTCTCTAGATCCAGGCAGATGAACCCAGAAGGATGGTCCCAGAGAAACCAGACTGGCCCCAGTAGATAATCAGGCAGCCATCCCAATAAACTTCGAATTATCCTTGCACTGGGAGCCTGGGCAGGAGCTCGGGGGCAGCTGTGCCTGTCCTTCCCCACCCCAAGATCTTCCTGCCTAGAGAGCTAGCAGCCCTGGGGTACTAATGAGCATGCTGCGGGCCTGTGGGTATGAAATAGAAGGTGGCTTTGTAGGGGCCAGGAGGCAAAGAGGCAGGCAGGTGGCTTGTGTCTGGAAAACTCTGCCTAGCAAAGCTGTGGCCAGAGGCTGGTAAGAAATTTGAACTCCCTGAGCCCTTCTACAGCTCTGCCTCTGTTCTCTTGCATTCTGTTTGGTTTCCCTTTAGTTTCCTAGTAAATGTTTCTTTTGAAAAATTCCAACCTTGTTTCATTGGACTGGGGTGGGGTGGGAAAGGGGATTCTGCAATATCTTTTCCAGGATAGAGAAGGAAATTAAAGTACCTTGGAAAAATGGAAATGGCAATGAAAAGGGATACACCCTTGTTGCATCTTAGAAAGAGACCTTGGAGAAAGCTGGGTCCAAGAGGTGGGGAGAAACCAGGTGCCTCCCTCACTCACCTGGCACTGATTCTCAGCCCCTTCCTGTTGCAGCCTTTGTCTTCAGGGAGATCTGCCTTGGATGTGTGTTACTGCAAAAAGCATCTTCCTGGCCAGTGAACTGGGCACATTCAGCAGGTTATGTGATGTCCAGGAAGGAACAACAGGCAATGTGATGACCAGAGGAGGAACAGGGGAGGGAAGGGGAAGGAGTGATTTTCAAAATGTTCCAACAATCAAGACTCTATATGGAATTTAGTCGTCACAGCCATCATTAGAACTGTTTCATGTGAAGAGAAGAAAGGCATACTCTCATGCTTAAGCCAACGAGGCTGACAGAAAACAGGTATGGAAAATGTCTTGTGACCTTCATGGCCATCCTGTTATACAGTGGTGGGTGCTCCAATTACCTATTGCTGCTTAACAAAACTCTACAAAGCTTAATGGCTTGAAATGAAAGCTGTTATCTCTCATGATTATGGCAATTGGAGGAGCTTAGATGATTGGTCTCTTAGAGTCTCTCTGGTTTTTTCCCCCCTAAAGACTTAGGACTTTCCTATCTGCTGGGATTGTTTTGTTTTGTTCTGTTTTTGTTTTGTTTGTTTGTTTTTTAAGCCCAATTCCTTCTCTTTTTTCCCCCCTTAACGGAGACACTGGGGATTGAACCCAGGACCTCATGCACACCAAGCATATGCTCTGCCACTGAGCTGTACCCCCGCCCTCTTGGAGTCTCATGGCTGCTGTCAGATGGCAGTGGAGGCTGGTATAATCTGACTGCCTGGACAGGCAGGACATCCATGATGGGCTTTGCTCACATGTCTGGCTCCGCTGGAGGCTGACTGGACATCTCTCTCCACATAGTCTCTCCATGTGGTTAGCTTGTGCTTCCTCACAATGTGGAGGTCTGGAGGTTGTCAGACTTGCATAACTGCTGGCTTCCCCCCAGGCTAACATTGCAAGAGGTCCCAGTAGTTTCTACAAGGTTATTCTAAATAACCTCAGAAGTAACACAGGGTCGTTCCCACCATAGACTCTTGGTCAAGAGCAAGTCACAGGGCCTGCCTAGATTCAAGGGGAAAGGATTTCACAAGAATGGAATACCAGAAGGCGTGGCTCAGGGGACGGCTTTGGGGATAGTAGGGATGGGAGTGGAGGGGGTGGTGTCACTGAATCCGCGGGCTTCCAGGATAGCTGTCACTTTAAAAGCACATGCAATACTTAACACGCAGGAGGGTGGAGTGGGGAGGTCGGAGGGCCAGAGGAGGCGGGGAGGGGCTACCCCTGGACAGAGCTGAGCTCAAGAAAGGCAAATCGCTGCGATTGCTGCAGAGCTTAGGATGTCACCAGAAACCCTGGAGGAAAAACCTGATTATTGTCTTTCTACTGACTGCTTAAAAGCTTCAGCTGAATCCTTTGTTCCCTCCTCAGAGTAAAGGTGCAGACAAGACACCCCATGCTTGGGAACATACTTAGGAAAATGCTAAGTATGTAAGTAGAAGTTGTTTGTCCTTCTGAAGACTTCACTTCAGAATTATTGCTGCTAGTTAAGCGAGGGATTTTATCACGTCTAGTCTGAATGAGCGAAACTCTGCCGGTTGTCCCCGCGTGAGGTCCCCATGTGGCTAGTGTTGCCATGGTGCCTTCTCCAGTCCGCCCCTCCGTCTCGCCGCAGTCCTGCCCCTGCCATGTGGCATAGTCAGGGTCGCTCTGCTACCCTTCCCTCCACCCTGGCCTCCTCCTAGCTCAGCCCCCTCGCTAGAACTTTCAAAGCAAATTTATAGAAGGTGATGTCATGAACTGAGAAAAGGACATCAACATGGCTGTGCCTGTGACCAAAAACAGTGTCCGCAGCCTGGGTGTGGAGCCTCAGTTCTGCAGACCATTCCGCTGCCCATGGCTACCCCCTTCCCCAATGGCCACGGAGAGCGTCCAGCCTGGGAGTGCCCCGGAACGGTCACGCACACTCAGGCCAGAGAAGACGGCCTCACCTGTTGCTTTACTGTCGCATTCTAGATCCCTGTGAAGAATGTCTCTCTCTCATAGGATTTCTGTGCTGCTCGGAGCACAACCAGAGGCAAAGAGTGGCCAGTGAGCCCTCTCTGAGACTCAGGTTTTCTCAGTGATGGGACTTTCTGACTCCTTCCCCTCCAGTCCTTTCTCAGAGCCAAAGAGAGGTGATAACCCCACAATATCCTATAACAGTCACCCGTGGGCACCACTCTAACTGCAGACCCCGTGATCCCTGCCAGAGGTGCTGCCTGGCACCTTAACTTCTAAGTCAGAGGTAAGTCACAGACAGGGTCCAGAGAATTCTAGTGTGTGTCTGAGATGCCCTTTCCAAAGAAGAGATGCATATGAGCGGGGCCCTTCCATTGTAGCATACGCTGTTCTACCTTCCTCCAACTTCAGGTCAAACAGGCTGACCTTCGTGGAAGAAGCAAAATAGTAAAGCTCAGGAAAAGATAATCATCAGAAAAAAATTGCCCCACCAGTTGAGGAAATATCCCAGAGAAGACCTGTAGGACAACTGCAAGGAAAATAGGGGAAAGAGAGGGTTGGCTGTTGTGGGAGCTGCAGAAGATGAGCCCTGGCCCTCACTTCGAAGCCCACGTGTAAGGCAGAGAAGCTCTGATCAGTGCCAGGGACCTGCCTCCGCTGCTGCTGATGTCAGAGGCGAAGCCGCCTTTGCACAGTCTCCCAGGAGAACAGGTCACAGCTCTCTAAGGACAGTGGCAGAACACACTTCTTCCTTCTTCCACTCGGAAGGCTTACTTGTCACTTGCTAGAGTCCTGGGGCAAAGGGGCTACAAAATTAAACCAGCAGGATAATCGCTTCTGTCCCCTCGCTCCCTGGTGTCTTTTCACTGTGTCCCGGCGCTCTGGACATGGGGAGGACTAAGGATCAAGACTGAAGATGACCTCAGGATCAAGAGCCGCCCGGAAGTCCAATGCTTTGGCTAAGTCTCAGTGGCATCTGTGTCCCCCCTCTCATCCACAGGCAGCTGATGACCCTCATGGACCATCTCCTGGTAGGTAAGAGAAGAACAGGCCAGAGGGACCTGAACTCATTGCTACTGCCTCCCCAGACTCCACCATAAGGTAGCTTTCTCTGCGAAGGCTGGGTGGGCATTGCCAGACAGTTTTTAAAAAGCATATTTATCAGTGTAAAGATTATTGATGATAACACCACATCTTACAGTTTACAATGCATGGTATCATTTTTATCCCTTCTTTTTATTTTTTGAAAATTGAACTTGTGATTCCAAACAGTAAGGTAGTTTAAAAAAAAAAAAGTAACTTCTTGGCTCCATACTAAATTTACTGTAGTTATTATTCCAATTAATTATCCATTGTATTAAAGCTATTTCCAGACCAGTATTTGACATAGTAATAGGGATGGCTTTTCTTGTCAAGTAAACATTATCTCCAAGACACTGACTTTTTCACAATTCAGATAAACATAAACTTCTTGCATGGCAACAGTAGCTAGATTTGAAATTTCAAAGAAAGACTTTCTCAAATTCACCAAACTCAAAGCTTTCAAGTAATAATAAAATCATTTCTTCAAATACCTGAAGATATTTGTATTCAGGACCTCAGAGATGAGCTTATGGACTGTCTAAACTGATAAATAAATCTTCCAGAAACAAATTTTACCTTCATCTCAGAAACGTAATGATTTTTTTAAAGTATTTATTTTTCCTCAAGGAGTTTTGTAATCAGTGAAGATTGCTTAAGTCTAAAATTGGATCCAGAAAGGTTCACAGACTTTCTTAGACAAACAGCAAATTTGTATTATGTCCCAACATTATGGTCAGTATTTTAAAATTTTGTTTTCTACTTGGAAAGAGTGAATATATAAATGTTCTATGGAGAATAAGATGCCCCCAGAGTCCTGGGCAAAGCCCCCTGGAGAGAAATAAGGTGTCTCCCCTACCATAAAAAATGAAAGAACACCAAATGCTATTTTCCAAACTAGGACTCCCGGGGTTGAAAGTATTTCAACTAAAGTAAATATTTTTCTAAAATATGTATCAATTTTGTTTTGTTCTCTGCAAAGTTAAGTGTCACACTATCTTGAACAGCAATAAGAGGTTTTGAAAAAAAATTGTATTTGAGTAAAATTAACAAGAGGACATTTAAATGTTGCTTTCTAGTGTTTTCCACACTTGAAATTCACCCGCAGCTCCCTGCCAGATCCTGGCCCTAGCTAGGGTGGTTAACACCTGCTGACCCTCTCACAGTGACCCCTAGACCTGATGAGAGGTGGTCCTCCCCATGGCAGTCCACTTAGCGACTCTGACAAACCCTCTGGCACTTCTGGGTCAAGAGAATGCCAATGTGGCAACAAGTGCCACTTCGTTTTGATTCTTCCCACTCTGAAAAGTGGTTCTTTTTGTTCCCAAAAATTCAAAGCAAGGGAGAATGAATCCATGTCACCAGAGTAAGAACCAGGACAACCACTGTGTGCGGGCAGGGGAGTGGGGGAAAACGTCTAAAGCCAGCCCAAACACAGCGTTCTCAGTTTTTTTCTATGTTTCAGAGTTTGTTGATCTTGAATTTTTAGGGAAAATAAAGATGGAATTTCAAAAAACATAAACAATGGACTCAAAGGAACTCCATGGAGAATGTCTGTGACTTTAAGAGTCCCATAAAACCAGAAAAGTTTAGTAAATTATTCAAACACTTATGCTCTCTGGTAGACCAACGATTGACATGGGATGGAATAGCGCCCGTATGTCAATTTCCCCAGCCCAAATAAAGGTAGCTGTTGGCAGGTACCTTCCTAAAGCACTGTTCCTACGCGTGAGGCCTCA